ATACTTGGAATTTTGTTCTGATTTTTTGCATGCTTCATAAGGATAGTGAATCCTATTTTCTGGTAAATTTTCGTAATTTTAGGAGACCTCTAGCTAGGTCTTTCGAGCTAAACCAACATCGGATGATCATGGCCTAGCCCGGGCTCCGTGGGCACATTTGATGCAAGCTTGACATCCTACACTCTTTATTGATGTATTTTAAGACTTTCGATCATAAAAAAATGCATCCCGTACGATGAATTTCAAAATTTGGTTCGGCACATACTATTTCCTCGGCCAGCCGGACGTCCGGATGCGTACTGATCGACGATCCATCGTACTGATCGATTTTTTTTTCGAGGATTCCACGAACGTTACTCTTTATTGAGGCATTTTAAGACTTTCGATCGTAAAAAACTTCATCCCGTACGATGATTTTCAAAAGTTGGTTCGGGACTTACTATTTCCTCGGCCAGCCGGACGTCCGGATGCGTACTGATCGACGATCCATCGTACTGATCGATTTTTTTTCGAGGATTCCACGAACGTTACTCTTTATTGAGGCATTTTAAGACTTTCGATCGTAAAAAACTTCATCCCGTACGATGATTTTCAAAAGTTGGTTCGGGACTTACTATTTCCTCGGCCAGCCGGACGTCCGGATGCGTACTGATCGACGATCCATCGTACTGATCGATTTTTTTTCGAGGATTCCACGAACTTTACTCTTTATTGAGGCATTTTAAGACTTTCGATCGTAAAAAACTTCATCCCGTACGATGATTTTCAAAAGTTGGTTCGGGACTTACACTTTCCTCGGCCAGCCGGACGTCCGGATGCGTACTGATCGACGATCCATCGTACTGATCGATTTTTTTTCGAGGATTCCACGAACGTTACTCTTTATTGAGGCATTTTAAGACTTTCGATCGTAAAAAACTTCATCCCGTACGATGATTTTCAAAAGTTGGTTCGGGACTTACACTTTCCTCGGCCAGCCGGACGTCCGGATGCGTACTGATCGACGATCCATCGTACTGATCGATTTTTTTTCGAGGATTCCACGAACGTTACTCTAAATTGAGGCATTTTAAGACTTTCGATCGTAAAAAACTTCATCCCGTACGATGATTTTCAAAAGTTGGTTCGGGACTTACACTTTCCTCGGCCAGCCGGACGTCCGGATGCGTACTGATCGACGATCCATTGTACTGATCGATTTTTTTTCGAGGATTACACGAACGTTACTCTTTATTGAGGCATTTTAAGACTTTCGATCGTAAAAAACTTCATCCCGTACGATGATTTTCAAAAGTTGGTTCGGGACTTACTATTTCCTCGGCCAGCCGGACGTCCGGATGCGTACTGATCGACGATCCATCGTACTGATCGATTTTTTTTTCGAGGATTCCACGAACGTTACTCTTTATTGAGGAATTTTAAGACTTTCGATCGTAAAAAACTTCATCCCGTACGATGATTTTCAAAAGTTGGTTCGGGACTTATTATTTCCTCGGCCAGCCGGACGTCCGGATGCGTACTGATCGACGATCCATCGTACTGATCGATTTTTTTTCGAGGATTCCACGAACGTTACTCTTTATTGAGGCATTTTAAGACTTTCGATCGTAAAAAACTTCATCCCGTACGATGATTTTCAAAAGTTGGTTCGGGACTTACACTTTCCTCGGCCAGCCGGACGTCCGGATGCGTACTGATCGACGATCCATCGTACTGATCGATTTTTTTTCGAGGATTCCACGAACGTTACTCTAAATTGAGGCATTTTAAGACTTTCGATCGTAAAAAACTTCATCCCGTACGATGATTTTCAAAAGTTGGTTCGGGACTTAGTATTTCCTCGGCCAGCCGGACGAGCCGACATCGAAGGATCAAAAAGCAACGTCGCTATGAACGCTTGGCTGCCACAAGCCAGTTATCCCTGTGGTAACTTTTCTGACACCTCTAGCTTCAAATTCCGAAGGTCTAAAGGATCGATAGGCCACGCTTTCACGGTTCGTATTCGTACTGA